AAAAAGAATCAGACAGCAGATACGTAAAGAAAGAGAAGAACGCCTGAAACCACTCGTTGTCTCTGTTAAGAGGAACTGTGAGAATAATATACGGCCATTGGCGATATTGAATGGGGTCCACAGGGTATCTGTTTCATCTGCATCAAGTAAGCTTTGAATAAATGCTTTCTACATCAAAAAATATCTCGGTTTTTATAAGTAGGTCCGGGATAGTTAACGCAGTTATAATATTTCAGTACGCATCTGCAGACCTTTCTGAACAAGGTAATGAATCTTAGTATTCCATGAAAAGTCATTTTTTGACTACATGAATGACCTAACTCCTCAAGAAGGACTGTACCATGGTGTTATGAAACCCCCATGTGATGTTATGGGGAACAATGGTTTAGAGCAGAGGAAAGCTTTAAAGCAAATATTAAATGGGATTATACAAGAGCAGCTGGTGTTTACGCCCTACAGTCCTGCTGCCTCACAAAGATGACTTTCTCTTATAAAAAGCTTAATTCTGGATACCGGGGTTGCCACGATGTCTCAGACATTTATTGAGGTACCTGTTCATGTATACAGATTCAAAGATCTATATTATGTGCGACTATCATAATCCTGATTCCATCATGCGGACTTCAGCTGATAGCAAAATCCAAACCCGTGTGTTCGGAACACATTGTCGTGTGGAGAAGTAATGGATGCTGTGACTAGCTTAAGAAGTCATCTGAAGTTGATTGTAGTCGGTGGACGTGAGCAGTGTAGAGAATCGTCTTAATGCTAGGCTACGGTAAAGCAACTTTCTGGTGGTGCGATGGAAATGTTTCGCTGCGTAACTACCCAGGACACGCTTATAAACCTTCCTTGGTTTATTTTTGGAAAATATATGATATTTTGTTATTGCAGGTTGCGTTTATCTGCCTCTCTTCTTCATCTCATCTGCCACAATATAAAATATCATCTCATGGAACAGTGAGTATGATGAGGTTAGATATTAGCATTAGGTTATTTTAGAGAAAGTTTGATGTTACTGAGGAAAAGTTTAGTTTTTATGGACCTAGATTAAGAATAGACTATAGTAGTAGAGTATTAAATACAATATGTTCTGTTTGTAATTTGGGTCAAATGACTTGTTTACTAATATTATAATGATTTGCAGATTTTGTTCGACCCAGACCTATGCAGCAGCTGCCAGTAATCCGGCGCTTTGCCGTCGCAGCGGCAGGTCCAAAGCAGGTAGTGGCTCGGAAACTAAAACGCAAGATATCTGGAGATTCTGGCAATACACTTAAACGGGCAATGCGGATCTGAGACGCTTGCGTGAAACTTGCATTCAGAATTATCCTGGTGAAGAAAGCATTTTGTACCTGACATCAAGAAAATTAATTCTGAATGAACCAAAATGACTTACTTTGGTTACAAAGCACTTGTAGAATGTGGTACTTGACTATGACTATGTATGTTAATATAAGTACAACTGTGACAATAAAATGATTAATTATATATAGTAGGTGTGTTACTTCTTGGAAGAACCCATTACATTTCTTCGTCCCTGGACATGTCTGATGTGTTGCCTTTTTTTTTTTTTCAATGTTTGCTATTTTAGACGAAGTTCAACAGATTCTCAAATTCAGGCATGGAAGTTTACAGTGGGTTCACAAAGCAAAACATTTTAATTCCACTGTAAGACTGAAATATAAACTAGTTTTACCTGTTTTATATAGGTCTGAAAATTTATCGTGTTTTCTGAAGGCAGACTTGGGGTGGGGGGTGCACTTAAACATCGTTGGCTTAATGCCTGGAACTTTACCGTAAATATAGTATACAAAAGAATTAAAACATTTTAAAAAGTTTACTGTGACTAAGTAAAGTGAGATTGATACAGTCGTTACATATTCAGAAAGTGTAACTGAAAGTTCTTTCTTCATATGAACATGAAGTTTCTGAAGTCACCATGAAGAGCGCTCCGAACATAAACAGCCAATATGGCGAATCAAGCTGAGAAGGCATGGTGTGTTACGTGGTTTGTGGAGACAGTGCATCTGTGTAACGTAAAAACGGAACACCTCTTATTCAGATAATGCGTCATAAACAGTTTTCAGAATCGGGGTGTATGTGCAAAGGCAGGCCGGGGGTAAGTGAAGAAACATTTGCGTTCTATTGCATGCCGTTTGCAGACTGAGAAATGGTGAGGCAGTTTTACACATTCGCCCGTCACTACTATACATACCAACACCACAGTGAGTATGTATTGGAAAAACAAAACAAGTTCAGAATGCGTATTCGATATTGGAGTACACAATACAGTGTTCATTTAGACGTATTACGAGGTGCGATCGGAAAGTTTCCAGACTGCACGTATAAAAACCCGTACACTTATGCTTGACAGGCTGACAAAGAAAGATTTCCAGGGATGCTTCCAGGCTTGGCAGCGGCCCTGGGATCATTGTGTTCACTCCCAGGGGAACTACTTCGAGGGTGATGGATGAATTTAATACCTGAGATAAGTGTACGGGTTTTTATAGGCGCAGTCTTGAAACTTTCCGATCGCACCTCGTACATGTTTTGTTCGGCAGTTCCCATTTTAGCCACCAGATCGCAGTACCTCAGGTTTCCTCTACGTTGGTTAAGGACTCTCACTGTAGAATACAAGAGTAGCAATTCATCCTTCTTGGTAACAGGGGGTCTGACCTGATTAATATTCCTTCAGACCAGCACATTGTAGTCATGTTGTTTCATCCAATATGATCTTGGTTCCTTGCTTTACTTATGATCTGTCTTTTCTCAAAATATATTTCTTTCCTTGTAGCTGTTTTATTATGATGCAGTTTAACTTGCTTAGTACAGACAGCATCATAAACATTAGCTTGAATTATGGGCTCAAGCAGTATGCTCTTTGTACTTAAGTCAGATCTGTGCAGGTGAGGCATTAATGCCACATAATATTAGAGCATTCCTGTGTGCATGAAATCTACCCCATAATCATGATTTTTGCAGCAACTTAGGCTAATTGCAACAGCTTTATCTGTCATTCCACTGCTTGTGTGTATTGTAATATCCTTAAGAAATAAGCATAACACTTGAATGGGTTATTTTCAGCTATGTGATTTCTAAGGTTACCAAGTGTTTAAATACATCTTACATAGCATCAGTCACAGCTTTGGGTTATTATCTTGTTTCTGGACAAATTTCCAACCAATGGGAAAAATAACCAACTTGTATCAAGTATGGTTTACCTGTATAATCGAGGATATCCATCCCTAGATTTTCAAACCTCAGTTTTGATATGCAATGAGGCATTAGAGGTTCCCTAATTTGGCTGCTTGATGTTTCTCACATGTTCTACATGGTTTGACATACAACTCAATATCATATGATAAAGAAGGCCAGAAAAATGATTGGCGAGCCTCTTAATTACAGATCCTCTTATACCAGCATGTCGTTTATGAAGCAGTGTTAGCGCACATGGCTGCAATGATTTAGGTACAACTATTTTGTGTTCCTGAAACACCATTTCTGCTCCTATATATAGATAATCTTTCATCTTAAGGTATGGTATGGAATGTTAAGGGATTTAATTTATAGCAAGCCAGTGTTGCTAGCAAAATTTACAAATAGCAGAATGAGATGTATCACTTGCCATATTCTTTTTAAATTATTCCTGTTGAACTTCACACATAGGCATGTGTTTACTTACTGAATGTACAATTTCAAGCATTTCTGACTCATAACTTGTTTCCTTAAATCGTGACCTTAACAGTAAGCTAGCACAATACAGGTATTTACCAGGTAAATATCAGACATTCAAATTATAATACTGTATATTCAGGTTAACTATTCTTCCACTTCGACTTACTGTGAACCAAATGATAACTAATTAATATACAACTAACCAAACAGAGCTAAAATAGTGTTCATTTTGTACTTATAGCATTGCTGTAAGTGTATTTTTTGAGGTATTAAACATTTAGAAGTATACGTACTCGATCTCTAGCGTATTTTACTTGAAAGAGGGAGTTAGTTCTTTTTTTTGTGAGTTTCATTGTTCCTGTGGTGTGCTAGACACAGATGAATGTTTCACAATACAATATATCACTCCGAGAAAGCAAACGTATGCACAGCAGAAACTTTAAACGCTTTCTTAGCTACTACATCCCGACGCCAGACATTCAACCGTCCAACTCCCCACCCCAAAATCATTAGATCGCAACATTTCCCGCAAATTTATCACAGACCCAGTTATTAATTAAATTGTAACGAAAATGGAACCCGGAAAACTGAAGTATGAAAAAAAAAAAAAAAAAGTAAAGTTTGTCCCACTATACGCCATGTAGGCGTTTGGGGTGAGAGGAGGTATAGCTCCTCTCTTCCTTGACCTCGGCACTAGATTGGGGGTGAGTGGTCAGCATCACGCCCCGGCCGGCTTTACCCCCGGGAAAGAACCCCGGTACCCATTGTAGAGGAGGCTGGGTGGGCCCCAGAGCCGGTCTGGACGCAGAGGCTAGAGGAAAAATCCTGCCCCCATCGGGGATCGAACCCCGGTCGTAAGCTGATGCTTTATCTAACCTACTGCGTTATAATGCGTTCCACTGCAGTAAAGTATTCACAGAGATATTTCAGAATCGTTATGGTTTGGAAAATTATAACATGAGTTAAATGTTTAATTTCTGGTTACGTTATAGTCATAAAATTGAAAAGGATTGGGAGAAATTAAAATGTTTGATACGAAACATAACATACTTTCATTAGGAAGTACGTCTTAGTCATGGAATCGGATACGCCGTAGAATAACTGATAAAAGTCAAGCTCAAAACATATCATGCTTTCTCTTTCATTAATTTATTTTTATGAGATTGTTACGCGTTAGCTATAATTCTACTATTACCGTTGAATATAAAACCGGGTAAATGCTGTTGCATTAGAAGGACTACATATTCTCACGCAGACACCCAGTTTTAATGAAATTTTAAATTTATGTTTAGAAATTAGCAAGTTATAATTTTTTACGTATTGATCTCTCTTTAGGGGGACACTTTCAGACATGTGGCATGGCCTATTTTGACATTTTCAAATTTACGAATTTTGAACTGAGTAAATAACTGAGTAAGACAGTAGTCGAAACAAACTGTATGTAGTTTACAAAGGGAGGGAGGAGAGAAAATAAACATGTTTACTTTCATGGTAATTCTCCTTATGCTAAAATTCAGTTGTATCAAAGTTCTTAAATTTGGTTCTTCATGTTTAAAATGTAGTAAACTCATCTCGAACGCGGTTTCGTCCAGCGAGAAATTGATTACACGCATGAAAATAAATTCACATAGGATTGCAACGGTTAAGAAAGTTTTTTTTAGACAGGGTTGAACGTAGGAAATACTGCCGTCTAAAGAAGTTTCAAAGATCTTTCCTGAATTCATCATCACGGCTAAAGAATGGTGAATGATTTCAGATACCGACATTTTTGGTGCTTTTTGTATGCATTTTGGAATTGTTATATTAAAATATGCGTTTGAAAGTTCGGAATTATTCTATATACGTACGCTATATACTCTGAACTACAGACGGCGTCGTTAAATAAACCACAAATAAAATACTTTCTTGGAAACAGTGTTTTGTACCTGCACAGCGCCTTTTAGAGCGGCAACTTCTCTGTTTACTATGTCGTGCATTAAGCCTATTCGCGATTTTGCAGGCGATGAATGATGTCTTATTCCGACAGTGGTCCCAGATATTCGCTTAACTTTCGCAGCCGAGCCGTGATAATTAGGCTATTAGCACACGATCATGGGTGCGTAATTATATGTATTGGGAATGTAAGATATGTCTATGCACGATAGAAGTTGGTACTTTGTAAGAGTGTGGCACAAATACCGTGAAAATCTCACAACCGTTGGGCGCCAGTAAATTGATTGGCGTAGGAATCAACTAAGTATATTGTACATATTTCTTCACAAAATGCGGGTAAATTCATAATATAGAAGTCGCTTATAAATTGTTGGATAATGTGCTAAACTCTTCTGCCTTCATTTCCAAAACATTTATCTTGCCATGGCCTATCTAAAACCCTAAAATTATAATATACTAGAAGTTTTATTTTATTTGGGTCTGAAATTCACTCTAAGGGAGATCGTTGATTGAGGGTGTTTGGGAACGAAGTGTTAGAAGATAGATTTGAGATTTAAGTCAGACACCAGACTACATGGTGCTGCAACCCAGAAGACAGCCATCTTCGGACTCACCACCGCGGAAACATCAAAGTGTCGAAAATAATATTTGAAAATAAGGAGGATCTGGAAACGGAAAATGTAGAACTTCATAATTTGCTCACTTCATATTTAGTTTTTCGACGGTGAAATTAGGGACCATGGGACATAAAGTAAGAATTATAGGATGAGAAGTTGATAGGTTTTTGGAAATATTGAAGGCCATAGACCAATCCTGAGGTCTCGGGTTCGATTCCCGGCGGTGCTCGAATTTATAACTTGTGTTGGGCGAGGCCGTGGTCTATGC